GGGTTCAAGAAGTCTTTTGGTCTAAATATTATTATGAAGGGATAAAGACAGAGCTTTGTAACTTGGCACACATACTTTTATTTCTCTACATAGCCACCGTGCAGAGCAACACTTTCCTGCCACCTCTCTTTGACCTTCAAAAGTCCTTGAGAGAAAAATGATCCAGATTGGGCCCTTAACCAGTCTTCAATAACTCCAATGGTGTCCTCGTTGTCATGGAAACGACATTCTTTGAGTGATATTTTAAGATAAGGAAACAGAAAAAAGTCTGAGGGGGCTAGGTCTTGTGAATAAGCTGGATGTGGCAGGATTTCCAAGCCGCACTGTTCTGCTGTCTAGTCTGTTTGCTGTGCCCTGTGCACAGGGGCGTTGGCATGCAGTAGGAGGACTCCATTACGGAGTTTTCCACACCTTTTCCCCACCAATTCGGACCGCAATTTTATCAGCAAACTCGAGTAGTAGTCTCCTGTGACTGTTTTTTTCGTTTACCAGGTAGTCAGTCATGATGATACCTTCACAATCCCAGAAGCACAACAGCATGACCTTTCCACTTGACGGTGTCACCTTTGCCTTTTTTGGTGAGGGAGAAGAAGGGGTTTTCCATTGCATGGAGGACATTTTTTGTTCTTGATCAAAATGATAAATCTATGTTTCATCCACTGTCACCATGTTTTTAGAGAAATGTGTGTCATTTGGCTCAATTCGAAGGAGAGTTTTGCAGGACTCAACCCTCCGCTTCTTTTGCTCATTTGTCAAAAGGCGGACTGTGCAGACATATTCAGGTTAAGGTGGTTATGGAGAATCGTTTCAATTGACCCGACACTCATTCTCGTTTCACTTGAGAGCTGTTTAACAGTTATATTATGTCGGTCTTGAAGAACCAGTTTCCGCACTATGGATACATTCTCTTTAGTGACCACAAAGGACAGGCGCTCTTCATGATCTTCATCCGTTACCAACATGAATTCAGATTTGAATTTTCTTACCCAGTTTGTCACAGTATTTTTACGAGGACATT